GATAGGGAGCACACAAAACATTAGTTAGCATTTTGATTTCACAAACATAAAGTGATTTACTTAATTTATCATTATCAGTGGCGGCTCCAGGAAAGCAAATTAGAGACAGGGAGGGACTTGCACGTTGGAAAAGTAGATCACCTCAGCCCCACCATGGTTGGGGCTGCATGAGGAAAGAAAATTTATGATTATGACCTCTAGATTGCCGGAAATGGCACTCTCAGACCTAAATTCTAATTCTAATTTTCCTTTGTTTTTTTTTTTTCATTTTTTAAAAATAATTTTGAAAAAATTAGGGCCGGCTCGGCCCCACTTGAATCTGCCACTGATTATTATGGCGTCATTGCGAGACTGCGTCAACGTAACACTGGAGCTTGTAAACTTTTGGTAGGCTTATCACTTAATCGAAATAGGTAGACATCATATCCCGCGTCCCCCCTGTCCCCCACCAATCGACGCCCATGCATTTACTATACGAATTTCTAAGTTGTCCAGTGAAAAGGCCTAGGCCCTGTCGCCTACTATTCTATGAGCCGAGCAAACGCGATGTTGTACACGCCTAACTAAGGCGCTATGCAATTTTGGTCAAGCAAAAACTGCATGTAATATGAAAATTAATAATAGCATACTGAGAATCAATTTCTTTTGGAATTTTGTTGTAAATTTCAAACACATTTTGATTAACAGATATTTACTATCAAATAAGAAAATAAAATTTTCTTATTAATATTTTTATTTATTTTTTTCAATTGTCTATTATTTTTGCAATCGCCACACTGTAGCATAGGCTTTGCGTTCACTCATGCATGCAAGGCACCAAAATGACTACCCAGCAGCGTCTCATGTCGCAACTCTCTCTATATAGAGAAAGAAAAGAAGAAAGAAAAAAGAAAGAAGACGCGGCCAGATTCTATATGGAACGCCGTTAGTATCTTCGGTTATGTGCAAACAATCTATTATGTACAATCGCCATGACGTTATGTGGTTTGGTCATTGTTATGTGGTTTGGTCATTATGTTATGTGATTTCTCATTATGTTACTGGTATGTGGTTTGGTCATGATGTTATGTAGTTTGGTCATGGTGTTATGTGGTTTGCTCATTATGTTATGTGGTTTGTACATTATGTTATGTAGTTTCGACATGACGTTCGGACGTCCTTGCGAGTATGTGAAGAAGTGTGAATAAGTAGACGGCTGTACAAGTAAGCCTATATCTAGTTTCATTTGAAACTTTTGATTGGCCGAGAGCGGGCGGGAAGACCAGAGTTATGAGCAGAGTTATGAGCATAAATGTTACCCCCTACCCCAAAAACTGTTGTTGATTACAAATTTCTCGGATCATAAACATTGACAATAATACATAATGCATTTTAATTTTTTTCTTGTTAACCTCAATTTTTGTATTCCATATGTTAATAACTACAAGAAAAACACAATTTGTATCAAATACATCCAAAATTAGACATATGACACTGAAGTTTATTGATATTTTATGAAAAAATTTGCATTTTAGAAAAAGGTCGATGACCTTTTGGCCTCTTGTGACGTTAATAATTGTCGGATTAATTTTATTTAAACTGCATATGATTAAGAAACATATATGCTACACATTGCTACCAAAATAACATTGATGGGATTTTTCTTGTTAACATCAATTTTTTTGTTCTATATGCCCGTAGGAACAAAATGATACCAAGGAAGTTTAACTGTGGGGGGGGGGGGGCCCCAGCCCATGTCCTAACGGCCAACATTTTTTACTCCGAGCTCAGTTAGGTTCATAAGATCTTCTTCAGTTCAGTTCAGTTTTTATTGGCTCACACTTTTACAACAGTGGCACACACTAATCAGCAGGGCCGGCGGAACGTTTTTCAAAGTGGGGGGCCCCACTTATAAGCAGGCCAGTAACAGGGGTCTTGGGTCCTGGGGGGGGGGGCAAATGTAATAATTTTCCCGGTTAGTAATTTATGACTTGGTGTGATCCCCCCCCCCCCATATAGAAAACAATACGGCATGGCTTATTTTAATATTAATATAGGGCACACGCGTGGAACTAAATATAAGCATTTTCATCGTGGTTTTATTTATTACAATTCATAGGCCTATTCTTTCACCATCATTACACATTGAGGCCCTTCTTTTAGGTAAAACGATCTATATTAAATTTTCTTTCTCAAGTTTTGGGACTATTATGTTTTTAAATAACTGAATATAAGTATTTTCCTTATGGCTTTATTTATTACAAACATTCTTTCAACATCATTACACATTGAGGCCCTTTTTTAATAGGTTAAACGATCTATCTTAAATTTTCTTTCTTGAGTTTGGGACTATGTGTTATAACTTAGAAGGCAAAGGTGAGCAAGCACAAGCTTTAACATAAAAAATGCGCGCGAAGCGCGCGATAAATGTTTGTTTTTTAAATTCTAATTTCGTTGGAATTGATCAAAACTTTCTAAAATGTGCAATTTTTAGAGGAAATTGGCCTACTTCAACAAAATATGCGATTTAAAATTTGAGATTTTCAGGCACTTTCCCGGGTGAAAAGGGCATTCAATGGGGAAAGACTTTCCACAGCTGGACTCTTATACACATCTAGATGTGTATAAGAGACAGATCTTGTACAGGGACATGTTCCCTTTTTTGCCTACCAGACTCATTTCGTTTTGAGTGAAATAAAATCATGAATTATAAAAAAAAAATACAATTTCATAGTCTGGCTTTTAGGTCTTGTCCACATTATCAAGTTTTCCTTGACAAAACATTGTAGTATGCCTATGATGTCAACATTTTCCCGGGAAGAACTCGAACATCCCTTTCCCTGGGTTCATTGATTCATTATAATAATTTTCAAGAGGGGAACACCTTGAATTTTGAAGAACTTAAAAGTAATTAAGTTCTTCAAAATTCTTCAAGGTTTTCCACTCTTGAAAACATTCAGATAATTTTTTCCCATTGTTATTACAGTAAATAGGCCTTATGTGTGTATACATACATAAAAAAAAGATTGAGTAAGTTGCATACGTAGTTTTTCCATGAATCGATAAATCCCAAAAAGAAAGGTGGGGGGTGGGGAGGTCCGTGGTTC